CGAGCCGAATTGCCGCATCGGTGCTCCGTTCAAATAGACTAAATACAGAGACAACAATTTTCTGATTCTCGAGTAATGATAATCGAGCAACCCTTTCGAAACGAAGGCGGCGAGTCGAAGTCGTGAACGCGCGTGCGCCCGCTTCGGGCGCGTTTATTCGAAATTTTTCTAATGGGAAACGCCGAAACTGGGCCAAATTGATTTGTGAATTAAACACGTGTTTGAAGAAAAGCGCGGAGGGGAAAAGAAAAAGGCAAGAAAATAGTTTGAACAGATGGGGGAATAATTCAATGATCGTAAAAATTCTATTCTTTGAGAAGCAATCCTCGAAGAAAGGATCGACATCGATATACATGTACTAAAATACAAAGTATTGTAAACTTTTATAATTTTGCAAAAAGAAATGACACGACAATCAACTCTCATTTTATTTTATTCTAAGATTTTTTTGCAGACTACGTGTGAAGATCTCAGATCCACAATGCATCCGCCGATTTTTAATGGTTCGATCGCTTAGGATGATCTTTGATGATCTTTGGATGTCATTTGATTTATTTTCAGCAAAAGGATCTACAAAAATTTTTGTAATTTGAAATGGACATTCATATTTCGGTAATAATAATTTTGGTATAATGATTTTTGCGAACGATTCGACTTGTTATACGTGATTTGTTTGACGTGGAATTTATGAAAATATAGATCGTACTGAAAATTATTGAGATCAGTATTTCAATTGTTTCGAGGGTTTATGAAAATTTAACAATTTTCAACAATATAGACGATAGAAAAATTATTTCCAATTAACGTCGAGGATTTATATAAATTTGAATGAGTTGTTTTGAAGACAACAAAAAAGAATAATAAATGCAAGTAACATATTACTCGTTGAATGGAGCATATCCTAACATATTCATAATACATAATTCATACATTCAGATTTTCAATTTCATCGATAATATAAAACAATTTGACTGTGTGATCGATTACTTTAATCGATCATATTTGATTTTTGTTTATGCCTCTAAAACAATTATCATTGTTCTTTTATTATTATTAGGAAAAGCAAAAATGAAAAACAAAAGAGAACGTAATTGAATGAACTGAAAATATCCGTTATCATTTTACAAAATCTTATAAAAAAATACAATATTAAATAAAATGATAACGATTATATAAAATTGATTTATTATACAAAGTAACTGCCTGTGTGCCTAATCATTTCAAACTACACCAGGCAAATTACGGAGTAAAATCTATAAAGTATTAAATCAGGTATTATTATTTATCAGTTATGATCTTATGTTAAATCGTAATTCACGCGTAATATGTGATAATCGTTCTTGTTATTATTACGTTATCACATAAATTAAGTTTTTATGCATCGAATCATACGAGAATATATATATACATACATACATACACGTATGTACTGAAAATGATGAATGGAGATGAATACAACGGTAAGCGACGGCTCCCTTTCATCTGATTTCGGTATCTGGTTCTTTAAATGTACATTCGTCGATATATTTCTTATCAAAGACAATAATTTACAATGCCAAAGAATCCCAATTTTTAATGGCTGATCGCTCAATTCTCACCTATTACATTTTTCTTACTAATTTTTATTTCTGTTAATCGTAATTTATAATTTTTCTCACTATTAAATTCTTCTCACTGTTGCATTAGAAATAGTTACAAGATCAATGTAACGTACAATTAATTGTAAAAGAACGAACTTTAACGAGCACGGAACACACATTTATAATAATTATACAAAACGAATAAAACTGAGCTTGTGCTCAAACTTCATAATTAATAAATTGATTTCCTAAATGATATTTATGAAACGTTTCGTAAATTTGCAAACAGGCTAGAATCTTATTATAATTTCATGTCAACTTTTTCTCGAATAAACTCTAACCTAATATGAAAGAAAGTTTCACAAAATTGGGAGCGTATACGTAAAATAGAAAACTTTGTATGTGTTGTTGTTGCGTACTCGATACATCAAATTTTATAGAATTGAATAATATATCGTAAATGCAGCAATCACATGTGTATGTGTGTGATTCCAGCAAGAAAACCATCTGTTTCTACTGATGTCAGACAGTCTTCACTTTTAAACGCACGCGTTTAGCGACGGTCTTCAATAGAAAACATGTTATAAAACATAAATGTCTATTTCTATCAATTTTCTCTGAATAAATTTACGAATGTACACCGAAAGGAGAGATATTAATAACATGCAATGAAAAATGTCACACTTAACATTAGAACTATCGGCGATTAAAGCCGATTAACATTTCTATTTAGAGATATTAAAGTAAACAAAAATTTTACAGTAATACAATGGAGTGCAGAAACTTTCAAATCTCTAAAAATATGCATCTATAAAATTTCTGAGAAAAACTAAAAATTAGTAATTTTGACCATCTTGATAGTTCTAGTGTTAAAACATGATACAATTTTGAAAACATTACGAAATAATGCAGAAAATGCGATATAGATTTAATGTAAATAATTAATTAAATAATTAATGTTGATTCTTATCCACCGTTTCAAAGATTATTACCTATTAATTAAATTATCATTCTAAACAATGCTCCAAATTAAAACATTAAAACCAGAGTATCTAAAACGACTGATTATGTAACATGATTTAATACAGACATACTTCTGTCCAAAAATCGTTACGAGAATTAATTACGCTTGCTCCAAAATTAATCTCGATTTAAATCGAAACAAAATTAAACAAGAAAGATATTGTCCTAAGATATTGCAAAGCCTAATTTTCTTACTCTCTTACTTTCCCACACCTCGTTCATTTCAACTTCTCTGCTCCAAAATCTCAACTCTATCTCTCCACAATGTTTCCACCATTAACATAACACGCAAGATCATCTCAAATCGCCAGACGTACCTTGAAAAGGATATCCAGTGAAATAGGGTGTCATGTTCAGAGTGCTGACTGCCATCTAGCCTAATATCTTCGTTGTTTCTCCGATCACCAACCCACCACAATACCCCAGCCAGGATCTATACTTCTCCAAACTACAACGAAATATCGCCTCTTCCTTCCAATTTCTCGAACCGTGCCCGCCTTTCGATCACTTCACACGCAACGAAACTTCAATGAAAGCAACGAAAGTTCCACGACGACGACGACGACAATGGAAACGAAGAGGAGCCGGAAGTACTCGGGGGGGATCGCAGTAACTCCCCTCGACAGGACGACGACAGAAACGGAACAAGTGTTGCTGTTTTCGCCGCGAATGCGAGTGGAAACGGTCGTGAGAGACCTGTTTGCTTCGGGGTCTCGGCTGGAACTGTTGGAGCGCCGATTCGGACGGAGGTTGGCTGCAAAGGAGGCTCAGAGCAAAAGAAAAAGGAGAAGACAGGCTTAGGTGAGACCGAGGGCAAAAGAGGCTCCGCCTTCGTTCACGGGCCCTGTCGAGGTGGGAACATCTGGGTCCAAGAGCACCTTGATGGCTCTTGGTCGAGTGGTGCATTGGTCACCGCGAAGGTGACCCCTTCAAGGTGGAGGTGGTCTCTCGTCAGACTCCGCCCGGCTTTCTCCTTGACTTCGCGGGCGCAAGCCTCGTTCTCCACGCGTTCCTCCGCGCTCCTTTTGATGCCCGGCCGGCGGAGGAACGGATCGGTAGCTGGCTGGAAATGTGTAACGACGTTTGCTTGACAACCGGTCGTTTCGTCGAATGTGCAGAATTTACGAACATGCACGCTGCGTTGAGAATTCAGCCGAGTCCAGAGATTAGTTTCAGGAGATTGTTCAAGAAAAATTTTTAACAGCAGTTGAAGCGAGGGGATGTACCTGTATTTCGGAATAATAATTGCGACAGAATCTTCCCGAACAGAAAACGACCCGAATTAAAACTGGATTTAGCTGGAATTATTAATATAAGGTGGTCGAAACGACCAATTTATGTTTTTTGGAGTATTTTCAACAGATTTACGATGCATTTAAACGATTTTTTTTTTTTTTTGTAAAATATACGAACGAGGAAGTGTCCTTCATTGTACTATAAACTTTGTCCTACTTTTTGGACTGTAATTTCTTCGATGCAATCTTTGTGCTTTTGTCGTCAGTAGTTCTAGTGTTAAATTTTTCCGGCGTAAAACATACCATCTTGAGAGTTACTTGCAATCTTCAAATCTGCACGAATCTTCCCAATGAGATTGAAAATATTTTCAGTTGAGATCAATTGAGAATATTTTGATTCCGAAAACTGCTTGCTTCCAAGAAACGTAACACAGAACGTTCACGTTGCTCCCAAACTTGATAGCTCCAATTTATTACATTCCTGTCGTAGCAGACAACCCGACCGAAGTATAACTTGTTTTAGTCTCTTCAACATCCTTTATATAACACAAAGGGCTAGTACAAATTCGAAGAGATTGCGTGACATATTTTAATACGTCAATGATCAATCTTGCTCATCCTTTCCTCGGGCGTTAGACACTTCCAGCTGATTCCCCGCTGCGACCAAGGAATCTTCTCTGATTCGCGTGTAATCATCCGGCAGATTAGCCGAAAAACAGGCTGAAATCATCTGGACGAGCGTCGTAATCCGACACAATAGGCCTTACAACCGCGTTAATACGCGAACCCTGCGCGCCTATTTACAACTTTATATTCACCGAGTCTTTGTTAATATTCGCTGGTTAATAATTGGACTGCTAGGACTTTCCATGCTTCCACTTATGGGGAATTTAAGAATGAAAACAAAACGTAGAGAATGCACGCAATTCTGCAAAATTTGCTTTGACGTGAATTTCATATTTTCACAAAGAGAATTAAAGAAACGAGTGATGTAATGTTGTACATTATTAATGCATTTTTTTTTTACTGGCAACAGTAAATTGTCTACTATACTTAATAAATTTTAACATTCTAAGTAAGTTATAATATACAATCTAGCATATTCGAGATGATCATTCGCGCCTATCAACTCGGTGAAAAAGGGAAGTATTACATGAAAAAAATATTCTTTCTATTCAAGACTTGTTTTTTTTTTTCTATTAGAAGACCCGGTTGTAGCCCGATTACAAAAACGATCTTGTACAGCGATGGTTTGTCGTCGATATTTCCCCATTCCCCAGAGACACGAGATTCTTCACTGAAATATTTCGAATTTCAGCTTAGTGGAACACGTCGTGGTTGCACGAGGCTTTCTGCTGGTGGAAATATTCCCGAAGGACGACGATCCACCTAATTGTCATCCATTCACCCCTTTTTCTCGCGTTGGCTCGTTCGTTTCCCTTTTCTTTGCGATCGAGACACGAAAGAAGACAGAGCCAACGCTATTACTTATACATTGACGTATTTTGACAAGTCTCTCGGTGTCACATAGTGGAGACAGTGACACCCTCCTACTGGTGAGACCATAGTTCTGAACAATTTGCTCGCGAGAACCTGGTGGGCGTGGATCTCGACGATGATTAATTTTACGAGGGCTGGGAGCGTTCGAAAAAAAGTCTATCTCGCGTGAATTGAAACATTTCGGTGAAATATTTTTGGAGAAGATTTTGCGAGATATTTTGGAAGCTTTGAGTTAGTACATTTATTTAGTAAATAATAGGTATATTGTAAAAAAGAATAAAATTTTATAATCAACATTTTTTTTGTTCGAGTATTTTCGGCATTTGAGGATTTATTTTTACCTATTTTTGTTTGTTCCATCGTTTTTTATTACTTAAGCTGTAAAAATTTAGATTTTACATCACTTAATTTCTGAAATTTTTAATTTGACTTGATGCAAGCAAGCGACATTAAATATCCAAAATTTTAGTAATCTAACATAGACATTTAATAAACTAACATTTGGGGGTTAATCTTATTTTTCTTTTATGAAAAAGTTTCTTTAGCTTGTAGGAAGTATGAAAATAATAATTTCGATCTTAATATAGGGGAGGGGGCTAATTTCCTACTTCAAATATTATGTTGAAGTTTCTCTCGAAAGAATTAAAAATTCAAGAATAGTGACAAAGTTTTTTAAAGCCTAACATCTCACGAAATTTTAACATTCATCCTATAATATTTTTTTTAGGCTAACTACTTATTATTTTTTTACTAAATCATCTACACTAGATCAGAGAATCATCCCTTATCCATTTAATCGAAATAAATATGAAATTCGCGGAGTTTTAAATCCTATTTATCCACGAAACAAACACATTTTTATATAAGTAGATACATATGTACTTGGTAAATACAAATTTCACTGGAAATATTCCCTTATGTGTTCATCCGGTTTTTTACACGAATGTGCAAGATATAGATTTTAGACATTTTCTTGAGAATTTCTAGCGAATCATTCCCGATAGACCGATTGATCATCTCAACTGTGCTTAAAAGTCTGTGGCCAGGTTCTAGATTCAAGGCTGTCTTTCACGATCACTCTTGGGACCACATTTTCGGAATTGAAAGATCTCTGTTCACTGGTGATGGAACTTGCTCCTGAGAGTTTCATTCTAACTGCTTGACATTCGACTTGAAACTGTCTTTTTGCCTCGATACTGACTATCGTGTAGTTTATCAAAAGTTCGAGATTATTTGCAGAGTGTAGTTGCAGAATTTCATACGAAATTTTCCTTTTCATTTTTCTTGTCGTCTTATTCACTGCTACGTAATCTAAAACTGTTAAAGTTCAAGTTGGCAAATCTTCCTCGGAGACGAGGTCTTCAATAACAAAACATGATCGTCTCTTTAATATTAAGAACATTCCACGCATAAGTTAGAAATATAACTGCTCTACTTCCGAGAAAAATAAATTTGAAAATTCATCGAGCCAACTCGACGAAATTTCTCAATCACGAGAAATCACAGATGGTAAATAACAAACAAACTTGAGATTAGTCTTCCATCTCGTGTGATCTAATTATCGTCCATCAATTCAATTTCACGGGTACAAAGGAAGTTCTAGCGGAGAAATGGGAATTGAAACGAGTGCAAAGCTAAGAGGTGGCGTCGAACCAATTAATCCGCAGAATCTGGACGCGGCCATGGTTTCACTTGAATCAAGATACGAGACAGAGGAGGCTGGTGGCTCGTGTACAGGCGTTTTACGTGAAATTTATGTACCCTGTGGAAGAAGCGGGGAACGAAGCGCGGAGTCCACGATCGGACACGCTGTTGCACACGGCTGCTCGTCATTAGAGGGATAATGCATATCTTAATGATTACGAAACGAAACACTGACACGATGCTTGGGATACGTAAGCAAGTGAATGGCGACGCGGCCTGGCAACTCGGCCCATCCACAATCATGTAATCGTCCCACGCTGCTGCAATCAGCTCCCCATAAACTACAATCACGACACGTGCTATCCCTATAGGTGGATCCCTGAGCTCCCTGTAAACAGCGGGCGATAGTTGGCCAAGGATTAAATCCCTCGGCAGATGAATTCAAAACGTTCGCGGATCACGATTTAGCTGTTCAGGTTCAGGGAGAACCGCCGACGTTGTAATTAATAGCGATTCTCTATGCACCTTCGACAATCTGTAGTTGCATTTGCGAGAGAAATTCTTTTACGAGCGTGTTAACATGGAAGATTTTGAAATTTCACATTGTGCGATCTTTAACACGCAATGTGGATAGCTATTTAGGTAAATATATTTGTGAGAAATTTTCAGATATATGAAGATTCTTGAAATTCTTGAAATTTCATCAACACTGTGATGAGAGAGGATCTTTTACATTCTTGACGAAACGAGTTAATCCAGATAACATCGTGTATAATGAAATACAATACTATGTATAATATGTGTAGATTAGGCTTCAACACTGAATATAATTAATTTAGAAAAAATTATATACAATATTATTTCGTTGCAAATGAAATAATCTTTATTGAAGGAAATTACCACTTATTTTGAAACTCTAAGACATTCCATCCGGCTTGTGACTGTCAAATGCTGAAGCCATAAACTACTACGAAGAGATCATCGTTCGATATGACTCTCTCGCGGGATCGTCGAAACAGTAAGTAGAAACTACTTACTTGTTCCTACGATCCATCGTTCTTTTTTCCCACCCTGGACCGGTTAATATCTCAATCGTTAAAGTGGTTTTCGTCGGTGGCTTGGCATCCACCTATGCACGCGACCAATACTAAGGTACATTACACGAGCGTAGCTCGATAATACGCAGCCATTTTCATTTACCAGCCGCCTATGTATGCCAGTGTACGAGCTTAAGAAACGCACATTGGCAAGTTTGGAGAGAACTGGTACGGAACCACACGCGAAGAACGGAGAGAAGAGAGAAGAGAGAAGAGAGAGAGAGAATAATGGTCAGAAAAGCACCGGCCATTACGAGTGTTACAGCGGCGGTTCGCGCGGCGCGTCAAAGAACGCTCATTAAATGCTAGCAATTAACTGCGGACCAAGCTCTTGAAGGGTCTCTCTTCGAGAACGAAGCCAGGAACTACGTTCTTTTCAATCTTTCTCCTTTTCTCTCTCGCTCCTTCTTCCTTCTTTCCCTCTCTGTTC